CTCTCCTGCTACTCCTTGACTCTCCTTCTCTCTCCTGCTACTCCTTGGCTCTCCTGCTACTCCTTGACTCTCCTGTTACTCCTTGACTCTCCTTCTACTCCTTGACTCTCCTGCTCTCTCCTGCTACTCCTTGACTCTCCTGCTACTACTTGACTCTCCTACTCTCTTCTGCTACTCCTTGACTCTCCTGCTACTCCTTGACTCTCCTGCTACTCCTTGACTCTCCTGCTCAATCCTGCTACTCCTTGACTCTCCTGTTACTCCTTGACTCTCCTGCTACTCCTTGGCTCTCCTGCTCTCTCCTGCTACTCCTTGACTCTCCTGCTACTCCTTCTCTCTCCTGCTACTCCTTGACTCTCCTGCTACTCCTTGACTCTCCTGCTACTCCTTGACTCTCCTTCTCTCTCCTGCTACTCCTTGACTCTCCTGCTATTCCTGGGCTCTCCTTCTCTCTCCTGCTACTCCTTGACTCTCCTGCTACTCCTTGACTCTCCTTCTCTCTCCTGCTACTCCTTGGCTCTCCTGCTACTCCTTGACTCTCCTGTTACTCCTTGACTCTCCTTCTACTCCTTGACTCTCCTGCTCTCTCCTGCTACTCCTTGACTCTCCTGCTCCTTGACGCCTTGTTGCGTCTGTCTTTCAACCACACCCCTGATCTTATGATAGGTAAGATCTAATATCTAGCCTTCTCGGATAAGGGCGAAAAATCTCAGAGGTCCCGTGTGCAAGCTGCTCACGGTCCTTAAATCGATAAGTGTATGCTTCGGCCATCACCCGGGCAAAACTAAAAATTCCTACCTAACTGAAAATGTTTAGTTCTGTAAAACACTTTATAGAATTTAATTTTTAAAACGCTACACTCACCCTAGTGTGAAAAAGGTGTCTACAGCTATCGTGCTGTTTGTGACAATGTCGAAAGTCCAGTGATCTGCTGCTGCGAACAGACTTTGGGGATTGGCTGTGGATATAGTTCGTTAGTTTTAGTAGAGGTTTTACGGAGCTCGCAACTGCATAAGGTCGTATGAGCGTAAAGGGGTGGATGTCAACAGAGAAGTCCTTACGGGGAATCAGACTTACTCAGCTCACCTATTTAGCTTCTACAGCACAAAGTCTGCTTCGACTATCAAGGCACCCCGGAAATAGCGAGTCACAAGAGTGTGACAAACACAGAAAAGAAGTAGAGGAAAATGACGATAGTAAGGATTAGGAAAGAAAAAACAGCAGTTCCCTGTTGTAGTTCAGGTACAGTAATGAGCATGACATTGTTGGATCAACCCATTCACAATTCTACTGTGCATTAGAACGAGAAATGTTCCGCTTTTGGGAATGGCCTAAAGACACTTCAGTCAGTGGCACCGCCCCTGGAGGGGGGGGGGGGCGGTTGTGGATAAAGATAGACAGATATGAGATAAGATAAGAGAAGATAACACTGTATTATCCGGCGTCGCTGGCCTAGTGGTTAGGCTACCGGAATGGTAATCGTGAGGTTGCAGGGTCGAGGGTTCGAGCCGCGGGCCCGACGTTGTGTCCTTGGGAAAGGCACTTTACATGAATTTTCCTCACTTCACCCAGGTGGAAATGGGTACCCAGCCATAGACAGCGAAAGATCTTGTCAGTATGTCAGTGTTTTAGCGCCTATAAATGGCTGCTTGTACTGCATGCTTCCCAGGAAGTTGAGTTTTGTTTCAAAATGCTCTCAGATCTGCTGGGGTAATGGTATAGATTGAGAAGCGCATAGAGCTTGCTGTTGAGCAGGGATTTGCGCTATACAAATGTTATCTGTTATCCTAGAGGAAATTTTTCTTGGCTGTACTGGACCGTAAAAACACACGTAGGTATACATAAAAAAATTTAAGCTATATATTACTCTCATTAAAATTCAATATGAAAAGAGAGGTAAAGCTGACGAAATGAACATTCACATCAGATGCATCATTCAACTACGTGCAGGAATTTAAATACAAGACCTTTGGAGTTATATATAGATACATACTCTAAGAGCAACACACATCTATGCTCATTCTGACAAAAGCCTAAAGCTAGATGGTAAAAAACTTCCTTTATGAATTTCTTTCTCTGTTTTTTGGTGTACATATCTGCCGCTGTGTGATCTTATACTTCGTATGGAAAAGGGGTGTGATGGGTCGTTTATAATGCTTTTTATCTCTTTTATACGTATGGTGTTATACATTTCATCCATTCTAGTAAAATCATATCCAGAGATCTTGCTGGCTTTCTTAACTGTTCAGTCAAATGTTTCTTTATCTTTCCCCTTACAATTCCCACCCAAGCAGCAAATACAAAATAATAGCACACTTTCAATCATAAAATGATAAAAAAGGGACATAATCTTATTGTCAACACGGAAACTAATAGATAGATAGATAGATAGATAGATAGATAGATAGATAGATAGATAGATAGATAGATAGATAGATAGATAGATAGATAGATAGATAGAC